ACTGGCGGAGAGAGCAGAGAGGAGAGGCCTGTCTGCTTCTCTTATGTAATCACATCCCTCCCACTGCAGCAGCACACGCAGTCCGGGATTCCCTCCTGCAAGAGATAGGCGAGGCGGAGGAAAAAAGGACGAGTAGAATCATGAGGGATGGAAAGAAATAAGGTTAAAGAAATTATAAATCAGACATACAGATAAAACATAGGGATATTACAAATCAGCAAGCATGAAGGTGTTACGTAACTGCAAATTCATATGTAGGTTACACTGTAATATGCAGCTCATTTTTTTTTTCATTTTAGAATTTAAAGTATTACATCATATTCTTTTCTCAGGGCAAAACACAGGAGTCAAAGTGCAGATGATTAATGCATTCAAAGAGGATTGTGCTTTCTGCCCTGGATTATATCTATAAATTAAACATATACACATAGTCTAGTGCTCGATATGTGATACAGCATTTGAAAGATGCAGAGAATTATCACATCAAGAGCTTCTTCTATGCATTCATGTCCTTCAGTGAACTCAGCACTGTACATATGTGTGTGTTCCTCTGAGCATAGAGCTATTATCTGAGCACATAAACAGCTCTTGCATAACGTCTCCCTCGCACATGCGCTTCAAACGTCCCCAATCAGGCTCATTTGCTCCAGCACTCTCACAGAGATCAAGCCACTTTCTCCAGAGGTCACTGCAATTATCAAACCACACACACATGAAGTCACGTACAAAGACCTTTAGGTAAGGCTGTGCTGTGGGCTTCAACATAGCAGGTTATTATGCAGAATGTCTGATAATGTCATATTATATTTTACCTTGACGTAGTAGTTCACGTTCATTTGACTTTCAGCCCGGTCCAGCAGACATATACTGTATATATTTCATCGCTATGAGTAGTGCGAGTCAGAATGTTGACATTTTATGATAAAAGATGATATAGTGAAATGCAATTGGGGAATGATGTAAAAATGTAAGTGGGATGATGGCTTTGATAAACTCATATCATTGGAATGTAGCTAGAATCGTTTTCCACACAGACAGATGATACATATAGAAGCTTAACAAAGAGATGAAGAGAAAAAGCACTTATAAAGAAAGCTGTAGATGTTGTTCTTATTCCAATTGCTGTCGGTGGTGCTGAAACTTTGGAAAGATAGTAATTGACTGAAATACATTAAATAGAGATGAATGATATTTTTGTACAATATCAAAAAAGTTTTTTATGTGTCAGTATGTATGCTGTGTGTGTGTGTGTGTGTATATATATATATATATATATATATATATAGTACATAATAAATATATACATTACACAATCATGGAAACAAACTTTTATTTTGGATGTGATTAATCGCGATTAATCATTTGACAGCACTTATATATATATATATATATATAGGGTTAGATGAGGAAAGATTAAGAACAATATGCATTTACTTTAAAATTGTAACATATTTAAGTTTCACGTGCAGGATGATGAGGCATCAGCCAATGTGTTATTAAGGGAAATTAATATATTTGCTAATTTAGTTGTTACAGCACAAAAAGTAAAATTATTCAAAGATGCACATATTTTTATTGAAGATCCATCATAATTGCAACATTATGAATGTAAATTGAATGATTTCACTCAGCCTATAGGTTTTAATAAAAAGCAAAGTTGAAATGTATATCTTTTTACTACAGAACTATACTTTTTACTCCACAAATCTAAAAACATTGATGTTTCCACAAATCCCCCATTAAGAATTGAACAAATGAAGTGACAAAATTAAAAAATGAGTAAATTTAATGAGTTGAGGTGAGATTTTTGTGCCGTCTATGTTCAAAAGAAAAAAAAAGAAAAATGATTATCTTTCTTCAGGGGGCATCATTCCACATCTTACCCCATCTCAGCTGTTATTTTTAATCTAACATCATCTAATGCTTGAAGTTAATCTTTTAAATATCTAATTTAATAGAAAATCTCAAAATAAACACATTTTTGTACATGACACTGTACATTAGTATTGTGATGCCTAAATTCACTTGTAACATTTATGATTGATTTTTGTTTTTAGTGTTTTATTTTGAGTTAGACAAAATAGTATTTTTGGCCATAATATGAAAATATTGGTGCATTCCTTAAAATATTTGTTTATAAAATAAAGATATATTTTTATATATGTAAACTTTTTACATTCTAAAAAAGCACATTTACACTGAGAATTTGCTGCTTTCACTTTTTGTTCATAAGATTTGTAAATGTCTAGAAGTTATTTGGTGTGTGAGGTCTCTATAGTGTGTTACTTGGGTCCCCCGAGGGCTTGTCTTCATTATGCTGGATGCTCTGTGAGCTGCTGTCTGTCCAGTTGGCTGCAGCCTGCAGTGCTACAGAACTGTCTGTGTAAATTAATTAGAGTGTGCTGGCTAATGAACAAGAAGAAAGGGCCACAGAGAGGAAATAATGGGAGTGCATAGAGCAGCAGCATAAGAGATGAAATGTGTTGTACTTGCTGCTGTGGAACAGACTTCTCATTAGTTCATTTCTGCTTACAGAGCTAACACACAGACCTCTTGATTGGTTGCAGTGCAGTATGTATATACAGCAAAGACATTCTTACCATTTCTGTCATTTTTAGCGATCCTTACTTAATCCCTCTCACACTCACATATATATAGACATCACACATATATATTCATCAAAAATTATATACATTTAATATACAGGGATTTACTAATATGTGACCCTGGACCACAAAACCAGTCTTAAGTCGCTGGGGTATATTTGTAGCAATAGCCAAAAATACACTGTATGGGTCAAAATTATTGATTTTTCTTTTATGCCAAAAATCATTAGGATAATAAGTAAAGATCATGTTCCATGAAGATATTTTGTAAATCTCCTACTGTAAATATATAAAAACTTAATTTTTGATTAGTAATATGCATTGCTAAGAACTTAATTTGGACAACTTTAAAGGAGATTTTCTCAATATTTTGACTTTTTTTGCACCCTCAGATTCCAGATTTTCAAATAGTTGTATCTCGGCCAAATATTGTCCTATCCTAACAAACCATACATCAATGGAAATCTTATTTATTCAGCTTTCAGATTATATATATAAATCTTAATTTCAAAAAAATGGACCCTTATGACTGGTTTTGTGGTCCAGGGTCACATATTAAAATTATATACAATTTGAAGTCTATACTAATTTGTGGAAATTAAAAAACAAAACAAAAATCTATTGTTTCAATTGTTATAAGTGAATTTTGACATCACATTATAATGTACATTATGACAATTTTTTTGATTAATTTGCCAAAGATTATATTGACATTATCAAATTACTAGTATTTTTTAAAGATAAACCTTTAAGTGAGCCTTAGATGATGGCAAAACTAATCAAACTAATAAAATGAACACCATTTTATACACCATTGAAAAGTTTGGTGTTATTAAAGATTTCTTTTTCCAATAAATGTTCTTTTGGAACTTCTTCAAAGAGCAAAAGATTATTATTCAGAAATAAATAAAAATAATGGTTTCCACAAAAATATTAAGCAGCAGAACTGTTAACTGTTATACACTGTTAATAATAAATGTTTCTTGAGCAGCAAACCAGCTTATTAGATTGATTTCTGAAGGATCATGTGACACTGAAGACTGGAGTAATGATGCTGAAAAATCAGCTTTGCATCACAGGAATAAATTACATTTTTAAAATATATTCAGAATTTTTTTTATTTAATTTGTAATAATATTTAACAATATTACTGTTTTTACTTTATTTTTTATAAAATAAATACAGCCTTGGTGAGCCTAAGATACTTCTTTCAAAATTATTAAAAAATCTTACCAACCCCAAAAGTTTAAACAAGGTATCCAAGATTGACATTATAATATTCATATCACAATATCTTAAAGGATCAAGAGTATCGATATCCATATTGTGAACTGTATGGATCTACTGCTCTATAATAGAATGTTGTAATATAAACACACTATATTATTCTAGGGAACTCGGTCTTAGTCACAAAGCTGTCTACCACCATATTGATTCATTACATGGAACTGCTTCACAAGGTAGACACCATGTCTTGACTCTGCAGGCAATTAAAGAGCAGATTTTTTGAGGGGTAATTCATCTCGGTCCAGAGGAAGTGATATAGTTGGCTACATCACTGGCTCAACTACATGCCAGCACCAGCCAGGAAACCATCAAAAAACAACATCCGTTCCCCAGTGCAGCGCTATTTGTCACCTTCTTACAACACAGTCCTCTGTTAAATGCTGTTTTACTTTTGTTCATGCTGGAAACAACACAAAAGTGCTCCAACAACAGCAATGAAGTCGAACAGTTTTTTTTATTCCCACATGGTATCAATCTGATCCCTCTTTCGCTTCAGTATTTGATTTTGTGGGCACAATATGACTATTTAATATCCCAATTCCAAAAGTAAGTAGATTAAAATAAGATGTAAGAGGCCATTAGAACAAACTGAATTGGCAAAGAGAAAGATGAGAGCAGTTGCCCGGTGAACAGCCTGTAGAATGATAATACAATTACAGCGATCGAAGTCAACAAATAAAGCACAAAGACACATTTTAAAAGTATATCTTAATATAAACATTTTATTCAGTGCATTGTATGTACACAACAAATAAGAAACAACTTGAATGTACGTGGCAGAGTGCCAGTCAGTACATACATGTTGTTTGTCAGTTTTATCCTGGTAGTTTGGAACATATGATGCAGGGCGGAGTTAATACACATAGCCTACATCATGCAGCTCTATTCCTCACCTCCCTGCAGTCTCCCATGCAACAGATACTGTATGTTCATCTAAAAGAAGAAAGAAACCCAGAAAGAAACAGAAGAGAGAAGAACCCCCGTGTAGTATGTATGACGTTATGTTGCCCGAGGGAAAGGATATATATACTGTACTGCAGGCCACAAAAAGGGTCCTTATTGTACACAACATGATTTGTACATGCCCTGTACAAGATTTTTTTCCCCTCATTTTATTTTCACTTTTACAAATTAGACATACCCTAAAAAATTCAACCAACTTAAGTTCCACAGTATCATTTTTTTGTTTGCTCATTTAAATAGAAAATTGTCACCACCATAAATTACTTACACACAAAACGCAGTCCAGGTGGGAGTCCCGCCATGTCTCGGAAATCACCAGCAACGGTGACCAGCATTGACCAAAGGACAGTCGACATGGCAAAAACACAAGCACAAAGACTAAAGGAACTCAGAAAACAGACAACGGGACGCAAAAGAGACGAAAGGGGTGACATCGAACAGCCCTCGTGAACCACACATCCATCTCCTCGAATACTGAAACCTCTCACTAATCAGAAAAAGCTTCCTGTCATGCGTAAATATGTACCGGTGTGGTCTGACGGCTCGAGGGAAAAACTCTCACAGTTCTGTCTTTGGTGCGCTAGATCTCCAGTCACGGTTAAATCTCGAAAACACTGATTTGGGGAAGAACAAGAGGAAGAGAAAGTAAGAAAAGCTCACAGCTAATTCAAACAATTAGCAAGCCCTGGCCACTTGCTTCTGAGAGGCTCAGCTTCACTCATCATGTGAGCAGAACGCAGGCTTTATATTCCCATGCTAGAGAGCAAAGCTCTCTGAGCGAGTGCACAAGAACGCAGGAGCCCCCCACGCACCGGGATGGGCGCTTCTCTATCGCTTCACACTCAGGAAGCATGGAGGACAGGGGTGCCTTCCTTCCACCGCACCCGTGCAGCTAAAACCCTCACTGACTGCCCTAAACTCTTAACAAATGCATTACTTGATCAGGACCTACGATGCTAGGAAATGAACCTTGATGGCTGACGTTCAACTGCAACGCAATGTCCCATTGTAAGAAAGGCTACAATTTCTGTTTCACATGGAAAAGGCTATTATAGTGGTGATCAAGAAAAAACAAACAAGCTAAACAGAACAAAAAAAACGAGCTAATTATAAAGAAGTCCACTCAAATGTTACTCTAGTTTGCAAGTGGTTATGTTATGTTTCATGTTGTCCTAATCGCTGAGAGCTTTTTGGAGAGAAGTCTGTGTGAAGTCACAAGCTTTCAGAGGTTTTGGTGAAGGCGAAAGGTAGCGGGCCGGGCTACGTTGACTCGTTCTGACTCACAGCTTTGCCCCCGTTCAGCACAGCGGAGGCACTCCGGCTCTTAGTGGGTGTGCCGCTACCAGAACGTGAGAACTCGGTTAGGTCGTGCAGAGAGGGTTCCCTGTACATGGCCACTGAAAAACAGTAAACAAAGAAAGAGCGTGTGGTTAGTAAAAGCATCCCACATGTTATGTTAGATGTGCACAGAGGAAATGCTAATGGGATGCAAATGTGCTTGTTTACTTCATGAAAGCCACTGATTAAATGTGAACAGGCTGAACATTTTTCATCAGTTTTAGTAAACAGAATGTTCGCAATAAATTTTTTTTTATGTTTTTGTATTGTGTTTGTGTATTTACCCATTTGCAATTTAACCATTTTCTTATTAAATATGCACAGAAAATGTCAACCTTTAACTAGTGGTTGGTAATTGTCTAAGCCTTTATTTATCAAAAAACAAAAAGACAGCAGCAAAATCTGAAATCAGGGCTCTATACCTATTATAAAATATGAGATGCTGCGTTTACAATATGACAAATATATACACTACTGTTCAAAAGTTTGGGGTCAGTAAGCTTTTTTTTAAAGAAATGAATAGTTTTATTTAGCTATGACGCATTTGTTCAAAAGTGACAGTAAAAGACATCTGGCTTCTGAACGATCACGTGACACAAAAGACTGCTGAAAATTCAACATTACCATCACAGGAATAAATTACATTTTAAAATATATTTTACATTGTAATAATATTTCACAATATTACTGTTTTTACTGCGGTTTTGATCAAACAAATACAGTCTTGTTGAGCATAATAGACTTCTTTTTAAAAAACATAAAAAAACACTTTTGAACAGCCGTGTACATGTATAACTTATTTTGAGTACGTTTTGGTAATTGATGTTGCAAAATATTACTCTATACAGTAAATAAAGTCAAAATTGTTAAATTGTTAGACAATCCCACCGAGTTACACAAACAGGGCAAAACCACTGCGATTAGAGTAGAGCAGAACAGACTGTGAAAAGCGATTATGAGAGAATGTGAGTCGAGCAGAAAAGGTTCTGAGAGGCACCTTTCACTCTGTGTCTTAACTTTTCAACAGATACATTTGTTTTAGGGAGCTAATATCTCTGTCTTGCTGTATAGAAAACACAACTCCTGCTATCTGACACAAACGTCAGACTCAAGCACTTCAGACAGCACTTTCACATCACCACTCCAGAAATCCACTAGGTAGCCAATGTGCTAAAATTCATCCGTCTGATCGTCTTAACGATGGATGTGCAGTGCAGGGAGCATCACAAAGACTTCCTTTAACCTCACACAAAGCTTCTTCTGCCTGCAACATGCAATCGATACAGCACTTAAGTGGAAAGCTCTACGAATCGATAGTTGACGTATTGGTTGTCCAAGTGAGTGTCGAGCTTCTGGCCAGAGGGGTGCAGGAGTCTCAGAGACCGGTGGCCAGGTCATTATTAGTGCACTCTATAGAGCTTTCTCTGGGCTGTCACATACCTGCTCATCAAATCTTCTGGACCAGTGTGCTTTAAAGTGTGACTGCGTCAATATGGCAATACATGGTTGAAGTGTTAAGCACTTTTAAATGTTTAAAACATTTTTTCTAATTAAAGTAACTGAACATGAATGAGGCCCCAAGCTCAGTGATTATCGATGCAGATACATCAGCCGTATGATGCCTTGTTCTTCGGCAATGGTAATGATCGTACAGGCTTTATATGTGTTTGCACTCTGGACAGAGACTACAGTACTTTGTGAGCCGAGAGCTGGCAGCCGAAGCCATGTTCACAGCGAGGAGACAGATCCTTAATTGGTCCTCTGGAAGAACACTGCTGGAGAAGGCGGCGAGCAAAATTCCAATTCTCTCTTTCTTCAAAATTACATAACTCTCCTCAACAACAACTAAACTCATAACTGACACAAGCGTCGCTTTTCTACATGAAAGATTATGGTAACACTTTGCAATAACATTTAATTTGTCAACACTAGTTAATGCACAAGGTTGACAATTAACTTTTCACAGCATTATTATTCTAGGTTAATCTTAATTCTTTATATACTTATTGATCACTGTTCATTTTCATCTGTAATACATTAATGTACATTAATTTAATTTAGCTTGAAATATAAATATATTTTATACTACAGTTTAAAAGGGACAGTAAGTATTTTTTAATAATACTTTTTTTTCCAGCAAGGATGCATTAAATAAATCAAAAGTAAATATTTTCATAATGTTCAAAAATATTTCTATTTCAAAGAAATGCTGTTTATACATGAAATGATTCCAAAAAAATGATCACAGTTTCCACAAAAATATTAAGGAGCACAAGTTTCAATATTGATAAAATTGTTTCTTGAGCAGCAAATCAGCATATTAGAGTGATTTCTGAAGGATCATGTGACACTGAAGACTGAAGTAAAATGGAAAACAATTTTTCAATTGTAATAATGTATCAAAATATTGCTGATTTATTGTATTTTTAAAATCAAATAAACACAGCCTTGGTGAACATAAGACACTTATTGGAAAAACATTAAACAAAATCTTACTGATGCCAAATTCTGAACGGTATTTAAAATTTAACATTAACCTACATGTAGACTAGTAAATGCTGTAAAAGTATTGTTATTTTATATTAAACTACTGCATTATCGTATGTGAAAGTGACGTTACATGTGGCCAAGTATGGTGACCCATACTCGGAATTAGTGCTCTGCATTTATCCCATCCAAAGTGCACACACACAGCAGTGAACACACACACACACCGTGAACACACACCCGGAGCAGTGGGCAGCCATTTATGCTGCGGCGCCCGGGGAGCAGTTGGGGGTTCGGTGCCTTGCTCAAGGGCACGTCAGTTGTGGTATTGAAGATGGGAGAGAGCGCTGTACATTCACTCCCCCCACCTACAATCCCTGCCGGTACGAGACTCGAACCCACAACCTTTGGGTTATGAGTCCGACTCTCTAACCATTAGGCCACGACTTCCCCCATGTTAAGTGTTAATTAATGTATCATAAAATGTAACCAATATTTTCATGTATTTACACACGTTTTAAAACACCTGACTAAATTTAGGTGAAGCATCTAAATTATTGAATGTGTGACTATCTTAGTCTTACTACTTAGCTACTGTAAAAGGAAAAAAAATGGCTTCCCAGTAAACATACTTAAAACAAGACAGCAGTTACTTGAGAGGCAACTTGCTTGGGACTTTTATTCAGAGAATGTATCTTGAATAGGTGTATTTTACATTGCTATTTCACCTTTTTAAGCATAAATCTCACTCAATGGCTGTGCACTGGCCTCTGAAATCAGCTCTAGTAAAGCATCTCCGCAGTGAATGCAGTGTGGAGCCAGTAGCACCAGACTGTCCTTCCAAGCTAATGCATTACTCCTTACACTACCAACACTCACCATTATCCTCTCACCACACTACAAGCCTCTTTAGAAAAAGGAAATGCATTTTCAAGGGCTAAGGCATTTTCTCTGAGAACAAAATGTTTCTCAGCTGCTAAGCCTCCATTTTTAATTATAATCAAATAAAATACCTTGTTTTAATTCTTTAAGCAATGAAAAGCGTTACTGATTTTTGTAAGTAGCTGAATTGCATGACATTATCAGACATTATGTTCAAAAACTAATTTGTGCAGCATGAGTCATTTGATAAGTTACTGCTTAACATAAAAACAAAGCAGCTCATAGTTTGGAGAACCGCCTCATCTTCATTAAGAGAGAAATCCTAATTATGCGTCTTTACTAAATGACGAGCAAGGCATTAAAAGTCAATCTAAAAGCAATAAAACGAAATGTTTACCTTGAAATTGGCACATGCTCAGGAATAAATGTAATATTTATGCGTAGAGTCTCTTAATGGTTTAAAATGTAAGCTTTCATTCATTCTTTTTCCAAAGCAACAAAAACAACAACAAGAAACTTCCACAGAGTTTGGATTAGTGCTTAGAGCGCACTCTCTCTGTGTTCGCTGACAAGAAAATATGCAGCCGGCAGATGAAAGCCACAAGGAACTTTGACAATTGCACAAAGCTCTGTTGTGTTCTGCTCTGAGATGGCTGCCTTGGCCTGGATGGAAGGGTACAGCGCTGTTTGCTGTCAAAAGCTGCTTTATCATTCCAGAGCCTTCTGCCACAGACAACGCTTTAAACTGTCTGATTGTGCTGGCGTCTGCAGCGCTCCTTACGGACTCCACTATCCACACCTCATCATCTCAGGAAAGAGCCTGAGACCAGCGTTCCCCTCAGACGGTGGAGGGACAATGGAAGGGCAGATTGTGTGCTCACTTGTCCGGAGCCTGTAGTTTAGAGCATTCATTGGGGCACATATAATGGAATTCCATTTTGACAATGAAAAAAGATGCAATATATAATAGATGCCTTGTGTTATATTTCCTGTCTGGTAGATGAATCATCAGGGTTCCCACAAACTAACAAACGTCTTTTCCAGGCATTCATGATTATGAGAAGCTTTTTATAGAGCTTGCACTCATTTTTAGTCGATTAAATGTTTTAGAGCTGGATACTGACTTTCAAAAATCATTTCATACAGCAACTTAACTGCGATAGCAATAAGAGTGACTACATAGTGTGTTGAGGTAGTGACTTACCTTTCAAAGGCTTGGGGAGGAAGTGTGCAGCGGGCTTGTTCTTTTTCACATGGTTGCCCTTCATGATCTCTCCTTCCTTGTTCAGGCCTAGGTACCAGCCCCTGCCCGACTGCTGCTGTCTATAGATCATGGAGGAGTACGTCACGTAGTAGTTCTCAAACACTGACTCCTTAAACTTGCACTCTGGTGTGAAGTGTTCCTGAAGGGCAAAGGAGGAAAGAGAAAAAGATGCAAGATGAGATTTAAAATTTAAAATCCTTTACGTGACACAGTGGATAGTAAGAAGTAATATGGTGATACAAATATACACAAAAGCAGTGTCTAGAGAGTAACTGTAAAATAATTTTATTTCTCAGGTTATTATGCAAAGACAACTATAAGCCATTTTATAGACCGATATCCCTGCAAAAGTATAAAACATAACAACATCAACCAATGGCATGAGTTTTGGGGTGGAACTATCTGTCTGTCCAACCAATGGCAGATGAGGGGGAAGGAGGAAAATCTGTTTGAAAACCATGGTTATTATAATTAACTAAAACTAAAATCAACAAAAAAATGTTTTTAATAAAATAAATATGAACTGAAATAAAATATACAAAGAATATTTTATTTCATGTAGAATTAAAGACATCTTTCACTTGTTTTCATTTAGTTTAACTTATTGTATTGTATTGTAAAATAAATAAAATTGAGATAAAACAAGAAAAAAAACTAAAATTGAGATAAAATCAAGAAAAACTATATAGGCAAATAAAAAAAA